AGAAGAGAGGCGCGTAGAGGAGGGAGGGTGTGAAGGAGAGCTTACGGCGGACCAGAGGGGTGCCGATGGCCGCGTAGCCCTGAAATACGACCAGCAGCGCGGCCGACGCCTCGTCCCACGCCGCCGACGCCGCCTCGCTCTTCTCGCGGTTGTCGTCGAGCTTGGCCTGCCGAGGTTAGCCGAGATTAGCCGTGATTAGCCGAGATTAGCCGGGGTATAGCCGAGGTGCAGCCGAGGTAAGGTACACCGCGGTGTATCCGTCTCGCGGCTGCTTGGCTCGGGTGATCTCGGGTGATCTCGGGTGATCTCGGGTGATCTCGGGTGATCTCTTGCTGGCCTGCTGCGTGCCCGCCTTCTCCTGCAGCCTCTGGTACTTGTCCGCGTAATAGTCTGCGTTCAGCTTCAGCACCTGCGCTCCGAACAGCCGATGGTGACAAGCCGTGTGGTGCTCACAACTGCTAGTGAGGAGGAGGGTGGTTGCTGGTACGCACCTGCAGCTCCGAGATGTGCTGCCACACCTAGTGCAGCGGGCGGGCAGCGCGGAGTCTGCAGTGCACTCGCGGCGCATTGAGTGTCACGGGCCACGCGCGCAGCGAACACAGCTGAAGGCAGCCGAGGCCGTAACGCCTGTCGACTGCTAGCCGCTCGGGTAATCTCGGGTAATCTCGGGTAATCTCCCGAGGCCGTGACGCCTGTCGACTGCTAGCCGCTCGGGTAATCTCGGGTAATCTCGGGTAATCTCCCGAGGCCGTGACGCCTGTCGACTGCTAGCCGCTCGGGTAATCTCGGGTAATCTCGGGTAATCTCCCGAGGCCGTGACGCCTTTCGACTGCTAGCCGCTCGGGTAATCTCGGGTAATCTCGGGTAATCTCCCGAGGCCGTGACGCCTGTCGACTGCTAGCCGCTCGGGTAATCTCGGGTAATCTCGGGTAATCTCCCGAGGCCGTGACGCCTTTCGACTGCTAGCCGCAACGCACGGGCGCGTCTCGTCTGCATCTAGGGCGCCGGACGGCGGCCATCGCGGTGGCCTTGCGCCGTACCGCCGGCAGGATGGCCGTCTCCTACACAGCCATGAGCACTTTAGCGTGGTGGTGGTGGTGGGGAGGTGGGAGTGCGGCGTCGAGCGGTGTACTCAGAGCATCGCGTGAATGCGAGGGCTACGAATGCCGCTGACGACAGCGGGGATGCCGCCGCGCCCACGCGTCGTCTCGAGCGCCAGTTTGGACACACGGGTTATGCTCCCGCGCCAGGCCTCGAGATATGGGGAGATCTGGGGAGCGCCTCTGCTTCCGCATCTAGGCTGGCGCGGCCATCGCGTCTGCCAGTTTCGTCTTGAAGGCGAGCTCCGCCGCGCTCATGGCGGTGGAGAAGGCGGCGGAGCCAGAGGGCGCCAGCGAG